TTGCGTGTATCACCTGACGGAACTCCTCTAGATGAGGCATCTGCACTGTGACAGATTTCCAGAATCGATGGCCAATCATGTTCTGACGGGGTATGATCTCCTGGCCTCTTGGGTTAAGGGTGCTTCGCATAGTGGCGATGATGCGGAACCCACGCGCTGCTCGTATGGTCTCTCCTCTGCTGGGTATGAGTAGTTCACCGCGTTCTATGAGGGGTAGCAGCGTGCTGATAACCTCGTTTGGCGCCCGATCGAGATCCTCGATGAAGATCCACCGGCCTTCCCGAACAGCGGTAGTGAGTACTCCTGCGCGCCAGCTAAAGGTTCCCGGCTTAGCTCCGGTAGTGTACATTCCAATCAGTAGCTTTGCGTCACTTTGTTCGTTCAAATGAAGGGTAACCATTCCGTCGAGCTTGTTGAGCTGCCATGCGAGATGACGCGTAAGAAGAGTCTTGCCCGAGCCCGCGAGGCCCGTGAGTAGAATAGGGCTGGACCCAAGAAGTCCATGAGCGATCTTCTTTAGGTTTTCCTCTGTGGTGGCTGTCGAGACGAGCTGGGCAGGCCTCTCTTGGGATGGGCTTCCGTCCAACCGAGGCAGTAGAACACCATTGACGTTGACTGTATACGGCGATAGGTCCTGATATAAAGCGTTCGCGTACGTGTCTATCCCGGAAATCTCCTGGCCAATCTTGCTCTGTAGATGTTTCCACCTCTTCTCTTCCCAAAGCGACAAAAAGCGGTAGTCGATGTGCTGACCTTCCCATGGCCCCTCGATCTCCTCCTCTCCAAGGAATCGCTTGATCATTTCTTGGGTCGCAAAATCCGCCGTATGCGCGTATAAACAAAGCGTCCGTATGGCCAGGTACCGTACAACGCGACTCGTGTGCTGAGACAGGCGCTCCAAAGCAAGCGGTCGTACATAGTTAGTGAAGTTCTTGCAGTCGTAACTGACGAGTCGAAATGTTCCAAGAAGAACTTCGACAAGATCAACATCACTGGTAGCGCTCATGATTTCGATCGATGATATCGATCCGATGATTGGAGAATCAGAAGTATGGGCCAGAAATCGTTCCACGTGCTCCGCGAGGTGAGGCGCAAGTGGTAGTAATCGCCCAAAGGCCGCCACTTTCGCGTCGGTCTTTGAGCCAGACTGTACCCACCGCGCGCATAGCTCTGTGAGGAGACTTCCATGCTGAACAAGAATGTCGTCTGTGGATTCGGGCTTCAAGGCTTCCGTGGCAAGCGTGTTGATGTCGACCATTTTACCGGACTTGCGGGTATTGATTCGTTCCATTTCTGCAAGGGTGGGGTTGTGATAGGACTTCGGGGCGCCTTCCCATAGTTTCGACGCTTCAGTATGTCCGGGAGGTGGTGTTGTGGCGGTGATGTCTGAAGGCCTCGAAGTTCTCTAACTTTTTTGCGGGTCTGGGAACGCGCCAAGACGCCAACCCAATTAGTCGTAATCCGCTCCGCAAAATCTCATGATGGCAGGCACGCCCGCAACGTACAATCATCACCATCGATTCACGCCTTCCCCTCCAGCACAATGGCAGCACCGGCATCCCGCGCGCTCAGGCGCTGTATCTGCACCGCGAAGCAGTCCGCATACGCACGACCGACCGTTGGAGCCACACAGCAGAGGATACAGCGGAGATGGCAGTCAGATGCGGCAGCTCCCACAAATCCAAAGATTGCGACGATCGTGGATCAGATTAGTCAATTGACTCTGTTGGAGACTGCAGACTTGGTATCGACGTTAAAGGTACGGTGACATGCTACGGGGGTGGGAAGGCGACCATCGGAAGCCTGTAGTGGCACGCATACAATATGTAGAGCATGCCCGTCTTCACACCTGCATTGTGTTTAAGGGAGACAGGCCTGGCTTTAAACCGTTTCGCCACCGATGATAGATGCAGCGACGTTCAGGTTGTCCCACTAACACTTCGCCAGACTCGTCTGAACATACCCGACATGCCTATGGGAGGATTTGTCGCTGGTCCCGGAGGAGGTGCCGGTCCCGCGGCCGCAGCCCCCGTCGAGGAAGAAGAGGCCGCGCCCGCCGCTCAAGAGAAGACACTTTTCAACCTCAAGCTCGAGAAATTCGACGCCGGCGCGAAACCCAAGGTGATCAAGGAGATCAAGGCCATGTTAGGCTTGAGTTTGGTGGACAGCAAGAAGTTCGTTGAGGGAGCACCGAAGATGATGAAGGAGGGTGTGCCAAAGGAGGAGGCGGAGAAGATTGTCGAGACGCTCAAGGCGCTGGGTGCTACAGTTGTCATGGAGTAGGGGCATGCTATAAGCGGCGAAGAGCAGGATCTGGGAGAGAAGGACGAATACTGTATCATAGCATTACGTTTGGGCGTGTACAGATATGTTTGGAATGACCATGGATGTATACAGTTTACTCAGAATTCCAACAACAATGTGGGCGTCATGAGACAAGCCCGTGGTATCTCTGCCCCAACGCCTAGGCCATGCTGTGGCAATGTCTGTCGCTCCCAATCAACGCCGTAAATGCAGATCAGCTACCGCCTGCCCACCATGCCAGGAACCATTTCCGACTGACACGGTCTTGGAACTTTGGCTACCCTCATCTTCGCTTGCCTGTTCCTCGTTCGCAGCAGCTCTGGCCGCTTCCCATGCCTCAATTTTCTCTCGGTCTTTGTCAGGATTCTATCCGAACTCAATAACCTTCCTCCTCTCCTCGGCATCTTCCCTCGCGGTAACGTAGTCGTCCTCGTTGATGTCGCTGGCCTCATCCCATAGCTTCTCCAGCTCCTCGTAGCCGTCTCCTGGCACCGCCCAGATACTCTCGCGCAACCTCTTGTGTCTCTCCCTGTCCTCCTCAATCCTCTGTTCAATCTGACGTTTGTCCATTCTTTGCCCTCCATTCCGACCGGCAGAAGCCGGAAAGCTGTCTTTGGGGTCGGAGGTATCTGTCGCCATGAAGGGATGCGCGACTTCTCTCGACTTCAGTACGGCCTCGAGTTCTTGGACAGTCTCCTTCATGAGGATGGACAGGTTCTCAAGCGTCTTGAGGACTTTGCGAACGACGCGGATGTTGGCGCCTTCTTCGCCTACGACGCATTCTACAACAGCCAGTATGTCTCTCTGCAACATGCGGACGTAGCCCATTGCGCTCGCATCGCCCGAGTTGTTGTCCCTGACGGCGTATTCGCAGAGGCATTCGATGAAGAACATGATGTTCGCGCGGGTGTTCATGTTGGTGCGTTCGAGTTGCTCGAGGATGCAGGAGTGGAGGTCTTCGTCCATTTCACGGTTCTTCAACGCGTAGAGAGCGGCCTTTTGGAGCGACGTGTGGGATGCGCTGAGGTGGGAGAGCAGCGTCGTGAAGCGTTGACGGACCTCGAACGGGTCGGCCATGGTGGAGCTCGGGCTTGCGCACGTCTTTGGCTACTATGGGCCCGGCGGTAGTCTTGGTGGTCTGGACGGCAAGGTCGTGTGGAGCGTCAGGCGGAGAGCTTGGGGAGGTGCGCGCATATCGTCGGCCATGGCCATAGCTCAAGATTTCTCCAAGCCAACCTTGGAACGTGGGGAAGGCGCCGATCTCGCGCTCCCGAAACGCAGCAGCCCTCGTCCTTCGCGTTTGCCCAACAGTGCCCACCAAGACGCCCACGGCACTCATCCACCATGGCGACCACACAAGAAGCCAAGCCTCTCACGTTGACTGTCCTCGGCTCTGGCACGTCGTCTGGCCCACCCCCCAACCACAGCCATCGCTAACAAGCCCAGGAACCATGGGCATCGCGATAATGGGCGGCGTCATGGCCTCGCTCGCCTCTGCCAGGACGAGAGCCTCGCTCGATCCCGCCTCTGCCTCTGCCTCTAAAGACGTGCCTAACCTCTCCAACTTCATCGCCTGCGACCAATGGGCCCCCGCCGAACAAAACGTCCGCAAAGCCCTCGGCCACTACAACTTCCCCCTGCAGACGCTCACAAACCAGAACCTCAAGGGCGTGCAGGAAGCTGACATCGTACTGCTGAGCTGCAAGCCACATGGCTTCAAGACGATTCTGGGCGAGGAGGGCGTTGGGGAGGCGCTGAAGGGGAAGGTGCTGGTCAGCATCCTGGCAGGCGTGACGCGGGAGCAGATTGAAGCTTTCCTGTATCCCCATGGGCCGGCGAAGACAGAAAACGCTTGTCGCGTGGTGAGGGTCATGCCCAACACTGCGTCTTTCGTAGGAGAGTCCATGTCTGTGATCCAGACTTCGGACCCACCCCTCAGTGAGGCGCAATACAAGCTCGTTGAGTTCGTCTTCAGCTCCATCGGTCGCGTTACGAACCTCCCTCCTGCGAACATGGATGCCGCGACCGCGCTGTGTGGCTCGGGTCCAGCTTTTTTCGCACTGATACTGGAGGCGGCGGCCGATGGTGCGGTTGCCATGGGCCTACCAAGAGCAGAGGCACAGATGATGGCTGCGCAGACCATGAGGGGAACCACTGGGCTCGTGCTAAACGGCGAGCATCCAGCGGTGCTGAAGGACAAAGTCTCAACGCCTGGTGGTTGCACCATCGGTGGGCTCATGTCTCTCGAGGAAGATGGCGTCAGGGGCGCCGTCGCAAAGGCAATTAGGGAAGCGACTGTCGTCGCATCGAGATTGGGTGGTGAGCAGAAGGAGTTTGTAAACCACAGGCGGTAAATATGTCGAAGCTTCAAACCCTGTGACGGCTTCGTCCCAACATCCCAGATTTCACAGAATAAACGATACCACAATTCCACAACGTATCCATCTCCGGACAAGAATTCTTAATTATCGTACCTAAGCCTACGCTGATTACTGCGTATACAGCATACATGTTCGTCCATATCTTCTGACTCATGTCTCAAAGGGTATAATACAGATAAGTAGAGAAAGGACCTCAGGTCTCCCCCAGCAGTTCCCCCAGATTGAACATGTCACTGTCTCGTAGCCATATCGTGCCTTGTCATAGCCCAAAAGACCCGTCTGGAAACCGGTGCGCATATGGCCAAAAGAGCCATCTTACCGCCTTTCCCGCTCCCGCTCCATCATCTCGCGCTCGACATCGCCTTCAGTCCTCACACCACCACGTCTAGCCTTGGCGTTCTTACGCAGTCCCGCTGTAAAGAGGCTGGCAATGTTGTCGTCACCCGTCGCACCAGACTTCCTGCGCTTGTCACGATGCGCGGCGGGGCCTGTGGGAGGCTTGGCATCAGCTTTGGGGCCTGTGGGTACCGGTGCCTCGTCGTCAAAGTCGTCTCTGCTACGCTTACTCGAGAGCGTAGGGCGGGATGAAGGAGAGATGCGTGATTGAAGGGACTTGCTGGAGCTGGATGGCTTCTCCACGCGTTCGCGACTGTCTCGCTCTCGGGCATTGCGCTCTCGCTCAGCGGCATAATGGTCTTGGAACGTTTCTTTGTCTTTGGATGAAGGGCCGGTTGGTATAGTCGATGTAGAAGTCGCGCTGGTTTTACGACGGTGATCCCTAGCTTCGCCGCTTCGGTCTTTATTTCGATCAGCAGCCGGACCCTTGGGTGGCTGGAAAGCTCGTGGGCCGGTAGGAGGTTGGGCCGGTGGAGGCATGGCCGCGTTCTTTGAGCGACCCTTGATGCTGAAGCCATTCGCCGAGGGCCCGGTTGGTGCGTTCAAGGGCGGAGACATAGCGCGTTTCTTCATCATCTGACCGACGACATCCTCTTCCCTCTCCAGTTGAGATGGCTTGTCTTTGCGCTCATGATCATCGTACTCGCGTCGCTCGCGATCGCGATCTTTGCGACTACGGCGTGAAGAGCGGTGATTGTCGTCCCCATAATCACGCTCATCGTCTTCACTTTCACGATCGCGACGCCGCCTACGGTCCTTGTCCTTATCCTTGTCGCGGGAGCGATCCTTCTCGCGGTCGTAATCATAGTTGCGGTCTCGCTCTCGCTCTTTACGATCCTTGCGGTCTCGTTCACGTTCCTTGTCGCGTGAGCGGTCGCGCCCGCTCCTGTGCTTGCGTCGTGAACTGGCATCAGAATCCTTTTCGCCATTGCCGTACGCATCTTCGTCTTCATATTTGTCTCCCTCACGAGGTGATCGGGAGCGATGGCGACGACGATGCTCCTTGCTCCGGTCGCGGTGGGACCGCGATGAACGGTGCTTGTCCTTGTCACGACGGCTGCTACGATACTTGGAGTCTGCCGATGCAGTTCGTGTACGGTCACCCCGGCTGCCCTTCTCGTCGCCGTAACGATCATCATACTCCGGGTCACGGTCATTATAGCGTGACGATCGATGGTGCTTGCGGTCTTTGCGATCCTCGTATTCGTTGTTCAATGGCGAAACGGATCTACCGCGGTCATCGCGACGAGAATGACGGTCTGCAGAACGCGATCGGTCACGTTGCTCACTTCTGTCATCACCCTTCGTTCGTGATTGTGGTCGAGAAGGCGTGGGTGAGCGTTCCTTGACCCGCATACTCTCATCTCGGAGAGGTGACCGCCTGCGTCATTGTCAGCCACTGCTTGTACTTCATTCTCCATCAAATCTACTTACGATCGAACTCTACGCTGTGGGCTAGCAGTTGTCGCATCTTGAGCAGACGCGACGCTTTTGGGCGGTGGCGGAGCTGCATATCGCCCACCATGGGCACGACTCGAGAAACCAGTGTTGGGTCGACCTTCTCTCATCGCGCGTGGTCCAGTTGGCGCGCCTGCAACACCGACACCAATCGGTTCCGTTGGCTGACCTGTCAGAACTGTCGCTGCACCATAAGCCCCGTTATTGAAGCCGCCACGTGGACCATAGTTGCCATTGTATCCCATAATGTTCATGCTGGGGTCGAAGGCTGCATTCATGTGCTGATCCGGGAACTGATTCATCATTCCTTGAGGGTATGGCACACCAGGGCCCATCATAGACTGGTCGTACTCTCGCATGTCTGCATCGCCAGAGTCTACAGTTTGTATAGGCTTCAGACCGCCGTCTTGAGTCTCGCATTGTGGACCACCCCCTGCCTGGTTAGTGTCGTCGCCAGCAGCTTCGCTAGCATTGCCAGCACCAACCCCATCTGCTGAAGTCTGTGGTTCGAGCGATACTGGGATATCGTCGACGATGTCCTTACCTTCTTCAGTTGGATCTGCGGACGCCTTCGACTGCTCGCCCTCGGCCTTCACCTCAGGAGCAGGGTTGGCATTTCCGTCAGGCGACTGGTCGTCACGCTGTGTAGAACGAATCGGGTCAGTTTTTGGTTTCCAAGTTTGGCCGATTCCCGTGTATGGGTTCGGTAGCTTTCGTTGGTGGGTTGAACGTACGTTTTGCAAAAGACCGCCACGGCTGCCCGGACGACCAGGCGCATTCTGGCAACCCGGACCAAAGCCACCCTGGCTGCCATTCTTGTTGTTTCGCTGAGGATGTGCTCCTCCTTGATTGGCATGGAAACGATTGTGGTTCTGGTTTGGGAAATTATTCTTGGGAAACTGGTTCATCATCTCGGGATATGCTCCAGATTGATTAAAGCCACCCAGCTGATTGGGCCCGCTGAAGTTTCCATAGCCACTGCCCATACCATTCCATCCATTGCCATAGCCACCACCGTACTGCATCATGTTCATGGCAGACATGTCGTTCATGCCCAAGCCCATGTTCCCTCCAAAGTTGCCGTACATTCCGTTCATGTTGTTGAAATCTAGCAAGGCATTAGTCGCCTGCAAGGAAGGCAAGGTTATTCCAAAGACATACCCATAGGATTCATGCCGTTCCAGCCGCCGTTGGCCATGATATTAGGCATCCCGTTCCAAGCCAAGCCATTGCTGAAGCCGCCCTGATTGGGGAAGCCGAAGCCCATCTGGCTTTGCACGCCGCTCATCGGCGGGTTGTTGCCAATCATGCCATTAGTTCCGTTGGAGGGTTTTTGCTCGTCGGTCGAGCTGTTGGCCGCTGAAGGTCCCGTGTTCTTGGTCACGCTCTGGGAGGCGGTGCTACCGCGCCGCTCAGTCTCCATCTCAGGAGAAGCATTTTCCTGATTTGGTCAGCAAGAGCGCGAGTGCAGTGGAAAGCATCTCCGGTCATTGGCACGTGTGGCAACCATGTTTTGCAATGCTTAGAGGCCCGACGATGTCTCTTCTGCTTGGTTTCTTCTTCTTCTGATTGTACAGTACCCGCATGCTCGCGCAAGAGCGAAATGAAAGACTTTCACAACCTACCTCCTTTGGTTGGGCCGCGGCCGAGCCGGCGCGCTGTCCAGCCTCTTCTGGGGCCTCGGCAGAACCAGCAGCTTGTTCAGCAGCACCGCCTTCTGCCTTGTGCGCATCCTCAACACTGTCTACGGGCTGCTCTGTACCATCACCGACCGGCAGGACCTCAAGCGCGGCCGGTGTCACCTCGACGGGCGGGGTAGCTGCCTGTGCCGCGGCCTTGGCCTCTTCCTTCTTCTTCTGTTTTTGTAGCCACACTCGCATCGTGTTACGCAGAGACTTGTTCGGTGTGCAAGAGTCGGCCTCGAGCGGGGAGTGGTCGCACGAGGGACACGCTGTCGGGAACTGGAGGTTTCCTTGACCTGGGCCGCGTTAGCGCCTGCGAGAATCTCCGGCAGCAGCATATGGTGTACGCACATGGTGAGCATATGGATTTAGCACAGCAGATCAGCTTGTATGAGTCGAACGCAAGCTCGTTACATAAGGCGCAGAAGAAGTTCTTCGGGAAGGCCGTCGTGGGGAGCGACCTGCTTACGTTAGTATGAGTTCAGAGCCTAGGCATTTCGCACGTACACAGCAAGCTCTCTCAGCTCGTCGGCGAGCGGCGCCGCCTTGGGATCGGTTGCGGGGTCGCCCATGGTAAGGCCCGACAAGTTCGCGACTTGGGGTCAGGCTGCCGTGTAAGAGTTGGAACCGATGTTTGCGCCAGACGTTACTCCATCAATGGGAAATGGCGGATGAGAGACAAGGAAAGATGGAAGTAAGACAGCCCCTCGATGCAGGCGCAGGCAAGCAGGCAGGCTTGTTTGCAGGCGCGGACAGACGTGTTTGCGGAGTGACAGCTAAGTGAGTCGCGGAAGTTTTCTGGAAGTCGCGACCGACCGACGGGTCCGTGCGCAGCTCCGCTAATTTCCGTCACGTGCGAACCGCTCCGTGCCTCGTTTGAGCAAGTCAGTGTCTGGGTGTCGCTCCGCCTGATGTGACTCCGGCTTCACGTCTTTCCAGAGGTTCGCAGGTTGCCCGGCCGAAGCTCAGGGAAAGCATGATCAATGCGGAACCGTTAGATGTGGCGCTAGGCGATTGTGGCTTAGCCGGACCCTTGTCAGCGTCATCGCTATTCCAGTCCTGAACGGTGTCGCTAGGCGTGCTCGTGGCTGAGATACTTTGTCCATCCTCTACTCTGTAAAGATGATACTGAGTCAAATTTCTTATCTGGACTGCATAGCTTTCCTCGTCTTCCTCGCTCCCCAATTGTTAGTCCAGATTGGGCTCCCGCCACTTTTGACATGGCTGATACCAGCCCTGCCATCTCTGGGTAAGCTACAACATGTCATGTACGTGGGCATACTAATACTCACAGCTCCCAAAGCCGTCGCCATACCGTACCAGTTCATTCGTGAACGCTTCTTTGTATCACATCAACATCGTGCCCCTTTCGTGCAGAAGGCAACGCCTTTCCAGGACTTGGTCATCCGTTTCGTTCGCTATGCATTCGCCAACATGCCCGCCTTTCTGGGGCGTGTCTTTTTTTCCAAAGCCGTGTCACTCCCTTTCTTGAGGTTTCGTATGCTGAGACACGGCATCGTCACCAGTCCTATCAGGTGGACTGAGATTAAAAGGCCAAACTTTAGAGGTGTATGGATAGTGCACAACCAGCAAGAGCAGCCAGATGTAATTGTATACTATTGTCATGGAGGTGGCTTTTCCATGGGGAGTAGTTTCTTCTATATGGAGTTTCTACTCGCTTGGGTTGCAATGCTCAAGAACGCTGGGTACAGCAATCCGGCTCTATTCGCTTTGGAATACACGCTCGTCCCAGACGCTACATACCCTACCCAACTCCACGAGACGGTCGCAGGCTACGAATACGTTCTATCGCTAGCTCAATCTTCAGTTCGTGTCGTCGTGGGTGGAGACTCTGCGGGCGCAACCCTCATCTTGAGCTTTCTGCTATACATGTCTGACCACACGGACTTGCGACATCAGAAACCTGGCCTTGCCATCATGATCAGCCCGTGGGTCACGATTCTATCGCGCGAAAATCGAAACACCGAATCCGACTATCTCAACAGTTCATCGTTGGAGCTATACGGCCGTCAATACATCGGCAGCAAGGTGTCAGCAGATGATCCATTCGTTTCACCCGGAACGTGCAGAGATTTGAATAAGTGGAGAGAGGCTAGTCCTGAACAAGGATGGTATTTCCTATATGGTAGTGAAGAAGTGCTTGGGCCGGAGACAAGGCGCCTGATCAGCTTATTGGAAAAGACCGGAAAAGAGGTAGACAGCTGGGAAGAGCCGGGAGGTATTCATGCATGGCCTGTTGCAAGCTTATACCTTGGGGAGACGAGAGAGGCCAGACTGAGTGGTCTGAAGAGTATTGTAGAAGCGATCAAGAGCAGGATACATTCATGAGACTGGAGGTGGTGGAACCCAGCCAAGACATACGATTCTTTGTCTGACGTAACCTTGCAATTAGTAAAGCCATTTCAGTTTCCTGCTATCTGTATTCACTGAGGGGGATAGCCTCGCTTTTGCGAAGGCTGTAGTGGTTCTGAACAAAAGCACACCTTGAGGATATCATTTGTGTTCAACACGCGTATCCAATCAGATGCCAAAACAGGGCAACTGCTATGCTGCATCCCAAGGTCGTTTCTTTAATCGTAGTCTTACAGGACGTTGTGCACCGGAACACTACCTAGGTAATAAGCAGCCATCAACTGCGAACAAGATTGACTGATCTACAGAGACGCAGCACAAGAGTTCTCATCACTTTCTTGGGCGTCTAGGCCCCACCCTTGCCGTTCGTTGTGCTGGTTGACTCATGGGTTTTCTTCAATGTACTTGTCCGGGGGAAAAGAATAGAAGCAATCTAAACGCACATTTCAACGTTGTTACTGCAGCTGCCTTCCAGCAATCAGTCCATTATCGAAGCCATCGCGCTTGTGCCGAAAGATAGGTGCACCAAATCAAGATCTTACCGTATACCAAGGTGCTATAACGATAACTTGCCCGACCAAACCCAGGCTCTAATCCGAGGCAAAGACGGACCACATCCTTAGTCTGACAGTCCAATATGCGTTGGAATAGCTTGATATGCTTTCAAATGCAGGCAGAGGGTACGGCTACATTGAAATACCGTGACAACTATTTTTCTCCTAAGTGTAAAGCAACGACACACGTCACATCGCATTGCCGGGTGCATCATAGGCGATGCATTTGAAAAAAGCCCAAGCGTTTAGTATAGATCTCTCTACGCCAGGATATGCCCTAGTTTATGTAACTAATGTAACTGCTTTGTAGAATGTCTGACCGAACATTTGTAAGTGGACGGTTTCCGGCAGAGTCAGCATGGCGGATGCTTGATACTGCTCTTGCGGAGCCAAGGTGCAAGGCAGGTGGCGTGCTAGCAAATGCATCGATGAGGACACCACGTGGGTGGGTTAGATGTGGGGGCTGTGGATAAGTCAATAGGTGCTAGATTATTAGGATATATTTCAATTATTTTCAAAATTCTCTATATGTTCTTCGATGGGCCGGTAACTCAGTGGTAGAGTGTAGGACTGCAGTTGAAACGAAATGCTACCTTCCCGAAGTCACCGGTTCGACTCCGGTTCGGCCCTTGTTTCTTTTTGCCCGGCTATCTTTCTTTTTTGACACAGGTGCATTCGTCTCTCTGAGGCTATAAAAGCAACATATCTTGTTCTTAATGCATTTCCACGGAAGCATACGTCCGCCTTCTTTCTTCATTTTGTTTCAACATAGACACTTGCTGTATTCTCTACTGAAAGGTCACAGAGACAGCTTTATGTATTTTAATGTGTACAGCGTATCGCACACATGAGTTTTAGTATCAAAGAGTACAGACCTGTACCCTAGAAAGAGAAGACAGGATGCATAGCGACAGCTCACTCACGAACGTGTTGCATCTACAGCGAAATGCTATGTCCTTGTAATATGGGTATTCAGACAAGTAATCTACACACCTGCACACATGGCATAGTATAAGCCCCACTCACCGTATTCTTACAAAAGTATATATACATCACTCCCTGCACCTGGTGTGACTCGCACGTCCTTGCCACGTTCTATAGCATGCAATTCGCACGAGCCACTCGCATCTCCAACCTTCAGTGCGCATTCGTCTACTCCCATCTCGTCTCTTTCTTCAACGGCTTTTCCCAATCCTTGATGTGGTCTGAGATGACCTTCGCAGCCTGTTCCGCCGTGAAGTTGCGCCCGATGGCTTCGACAAAATCGCCTTCTGGGTCTGGTAGATCTGTTAGCCTATGTACGTGCAACCTGATGACAGCAAGACAACATACCCATCAAATAGAAGTAGATACTGTGATCAACCAGGTAGTCTTGGCCAGGCTTGACGTCCTTGGGGGTGCTGAAGTACACGCGATACGCTTTACATGTATCCTTGATCTCCTCGTGGGTGCCTGTCAAGCCGATGAAGTCAGGATGGAACTCTGCCAGGTATTCCTTGAGCACCTTGGGGTTGTCGCGTGCAGGATCGCATGTGATCATGACGGGGAGGATGACGTTTCCGCATTCGGCGACGACTTTGTCGTACATGAGAGCCATTTTGTCGAGCTCGTCGGGGCAGATGTCGGGACAGTGAGTGAAACCAAAGTAGACCTACGACACTGTTGTTAGTGTAAATGCTCACACTGGGTCGAGGGCGATGCCGTACGAGAGAGTATTTGCCTAGCATATCCTCGTTGCTGAATTGCTGGCCATTGTGGTCTTGGAGGTGGAATGGACCGCCTACTTTAGGCTTTCCGATACCCTTTGTTTGCTCGGCGATTCGCTTTCTTGCCATGCGCTCTTTCTCGTATGTGAAGTAGGCCCATAATCCTCCGCCTGCTGCGACGAAGAGGATGGCTGCTGTGAGATTGAATGGCTACGAAGCGTTAGCCTTTGATCGGGCGTCTAAGTACTCCCACCTGGTACATAGCTCCTTGGATATCGAAACGTACCCCGCCCTTGTTCCTGGCCCGGATCTGATCTATTGTCTTGAGCTTGCTCCGTGGTGTCGAATGCGAAAAACCCCTTGTGTGTCCTTGGCAGCTACTTGCAGCGTTCCTTGGTCCAATGCGCGTTGTCTGTAATTCCCTCCGACACGTTGCGTTGCCCGCTGATGGTTTCCGCGACGATGCGACCGGACTCGATGTGCTAAAGGCGAATGTTCGATGCGGAACGCGCGCCGCTCGTGGACCTGAAATACTCCTCACAGCCGTGGCCATGCATTTCATTGGTGCAGCCATTGGGGTGTTGATATTGGAGACTGTATGACGCCGTGGTGTTGCGAAATGGTGCTGCGGCAGACTTTCGATGATTTGGGATGCGAACTGGCGCGCTCGGGCCAACCTCGAATGACATGTTGCTCCTTCGTACATCCAAGGTACATCACGTCACCACGAAAGTCCAGATGGACATCCATAAGCGGAGGTCCTAACGATTACTTGAGCCAGGGGTCACGTCAAAAAATAAGAGGGCGCCTTTGGAAGAAGTGTAGCAGAGAACTGGTGGGATGTTTATTTGATACCGATAGCTTTGAGAAGCTCCTCTTTCTGCGTTGCCCCAATGGCTCCTTCTGTTTCGACGCCCTTGACGACATGGCTCATGGTCTCCATCTCTCTGACGCCGGCACCATGTGCAAAGTGCCAGAGCTCTGCTTCTTCATACCGTACCTGGAACGCTTGCCAGTTCTGTGCTTTTAGCGTGTTGACATGCTCTGTGACAGCTACGGAGGGGCCGGAGTAGACAAGCAAGCCAGGATATCCAGGCTTGGTGAGCCCAGACACGGGTGGCACTGAAGACGGAGGTGAGAGTGCAAGTTTGCGTTTGTTGGTATTGAGAAGATGGTGCAGCCATACAATGACTGTCTTGGAGGTGTCTAGACTCTGGTTGGCCCCTGCGGTCGAGCCGCTGTGTGATTCAGCAGGAGCAGAATCGAGCATGTGCCGAAAGGCAGCGAGGATGGCATCGAGGGCCTCTTCGCCTTGGGCCAGCCCAAGCCCTGTGACGGCATCTCTAATGCGCGTCCGCAGGTCGTGCTTGGCTGCGTCAGTCGCAGAGATGATGTCGGGCGACCCTGATGCCGGATACGACTCGGGCAAGCGAAGAAGGAGCGAGGCACGATCATCTTGGGAGAAGCTTAATTCCCGTGACTTGGGATGATAGTGCGTCTGGTGGGGATACATGGCATCTAGCAGCAGCAGCTCGGTTTCAAGGCGGGCGGCAGCGTCGTCTGCCATGGTGGATGCAGGCGGATTGCCTGTGTTTGGAGGATCTACATGAAGGTCGGCGTGTGGGAGGCTGGACGGGCGCTGGTGGCTACAGTGAAACCAAAACCAAAGAGCTTTCCCGATGCGGCTAGGAGCAGACGCGGAACGTCCGCGCTCCAACCACCTGGGCACCCAGAGACACAGGCAAACCATCCATCTGCCCTCCGCACCGCCAGCCCAGAGCCTCACCCGCATGCCCTGCCCTCCGCACCGCCAACATCACGACCCGTCACGTGCAGCCAGCACCCACGGACGCCCTACGCCTGCGCCTGTGTGCGGAATGAGCAGCGGCCCCAGCGACGATGAAGGCTGCTCCGCTCCTGGTGTCCTGGCACAACGAGAACGCGCCCATCTACTCGGCGCACTTTGAGCCCCACGGCAAGGGACGCCTGGCGACAGCGGGCGGCGACAACAACGTGCGGGTGCGGCAGCCCCTCCCCGCGAGCAGCATGGACTTGCGCTGACCTGTACAACAGCTCTGGAGCGTCGAGGCGCACGGCGAGGAGCGCACCGTCTCCTACCTGTCGACTCTGGCCAAGCACACGCAGGCCGTCAACGTGGTGCGATGGTGTCCACGGGGTACGCCTCCGGCCCACGTGCAAGAGAGAGCAGCAACTGACGTGCCCTAGGCGAGATGCTCGCGAGCGCCGGCGACGACGGCAACGTGCTGCTCTGGGTCCCCGCCGAGAAGCAGGCGGCGCACAACTTGGACGAGGGCCTCGAAGACAAGGAGACGTGGCGAGTCAAGGCCATGTGCAGGTCCATAGGCTCCGAGATCTACGACCTGGCCTGGTCCCCTGACGGCGTCTTCTTCATCACAGGCAGCATGGACAACATTGCCCGCATCTACAACGCTCACACTGGTACGCCCCGTGCCCAGCCACCACGTCCCCGATAGCTGCTCAATCGTGTCTAGGAAGCATCGTGCGGCAGATTGCCGAGCACAACCACTACGTCCAGGGCGTTGCCTGGGACCCCATGAACGAGTACATTGCAACCCAGTCGTCGGACCGCTCCGTCCACATCTACACCCTGAAGAACAAGGACGGCCACTTCTCGCTGGCCCAGCACAGCAAGGTCACCAAGATGGACCTGCCCGCCCGCCGCGTCTCTTCCAACAGCCCGGCGCCCCCAGACTTCGGCAGCCGCGCCTTTGCCGCTGATGCTGCCATGGCAATCGGCTCGCCCGTGCCGTCGATGCCCGGCACGCCCCAGTCGCTGGCCCTGCCCACGATGCATCCGCCGCCGACCTCGCACAGCCGTCGTTCGTCCTTCGGCTCCTCTCCATCCATGCGCCGCTCCGCCTCGCCCGCTCCGTCCATGCCCCTGCCCGCCGTCATGCCAAACTCCCCCAGCATTGGCACCATGGGCCCCATGGGCCTCCGCAACGCGCCCCTCTACTTCAACGAGACCCTGACCTCCTTCTTCCGACGTCTTACATTTGCCCCGGACGGCAGCTTGTTGTTCACGCCGGCAGGCCAATACAAGGCCGTGCATGCGTCCGTTGCTGAAGCCAAGCAGACCGACGACATCACGAATACAGTCTACATATATACCCGGGCCGGCCTTAACAAGCCACCCGTCGCCTATCTGCCCGGCCACAAGAAGCCCTCGGTCGCCGTCCGTTGCTCGCCCGTCTACTATACCCTGCGCCAGTCTGCCCCACCCACCAGGCACATCACCATCGATACTTCGAATATGGACGATGAGATTCCTTCTCTGCCTGATCCAGTCATGCCCTCGAAGCCCCCTACCTCGCATTCATCCATGGACCCCCCGCCCATCACGAGTGCGCCTTCTCCCTCGCCTAGCCTATCAGCGCCGTCGCCCAAGCCCGCTGATGGCGAAGCATCCGCTCAATCCGGCCTGCCCCCCGGGCCTCCGTCTGCCTTTACACTGCCTTATCGCATGATGTATGCTGTCGCAACACAAGACGCTATCCACATCTACGATACGCAGCAACAGAAGCCCCTATGCATCGTCAGCAACTTGCACTTTGCTACCTTTACAGACATCACCTGGTACGTGCCGAGGCCCGCTTTGACTCCCAGTTCACTTACCATTCAATAGGTCAAATGACGGCTCCATGCTGCTGATGACCTCGTCGGATGGCTTTTGCTCATCCATCACATTTGCTCCTGGCGAACTCGGCGACAAGTACACGGGTCCTTTAGCTGTTCATAGCCGACCACAGCAGACACCTGCTGCCATCAACACCACGGGGGGGCACACATCAAACAACTCTACCCCGACTCCTACACCAACAAACGGAACCATGCCAGGCACCACAACGGCTACTGCACCACCAATGCAGAGGCAACCCTCTGCAGGCTTCCCGGCCTCTCCGAGCTCTTTTGTTCCCGCAAGGCCTGGAAGTCCCACAAGAAGCAATTCAGTATCCAGTATTGCTACTGCTTCATCCTTTGCGCCCGGTGCAGGTGACCAAAGCAACATGAACGCCCCAACGCCGGCTATGTCATCAGTGCCTAGTATTGCTGCTGCCAATTCTGGACCTGTACCGATGTGGACACCGCCTCTGACCCCAGCTCACGGCCAGGGCACGACGCACAGTGCAAGTAGCTCGGTCAGCGGGGTACCAAGCACTGCCCATGTTGGGCGAAGAGAAAGCGAAATGAGCGAGTCAGACCGCGACGATGCATCTTCGACTTCCAAGAAACGAGATTTGTATGCTATGCCGGAAGTTGATGCAGATGCGCGAGAGAGTAAGCGACGAAGGATTACACCAACACCGGTCACGATGGTCGCGGAAGGCGACAGTGCTATTGCCAGCACCGAAGAGAGTACTCCGACACAAACACCCGGGCAGTAGGAACTATTACATGGGATCCTCTTGTTTCCGATGCATTTCATCATTGTGTACATCTTGTCTTCAGCAAGGCGTTTAGGATACCAGGGCTATATTTACGGCGATATCATGTACAGATTCCTTTCTTTCCTTGCTAATGCTGTAATAGTGGGGCGCCATCACGATTATACCAAAATTCCCACTGCGCGAAGGCGCATGTAGTCGTACTCCACAATACAGATTATAGTCAAGTCAAATACATATACATTGCAGATGGAAAGACCTGAACTCATCTCCCTAGGTGGCCCAGTTGGTATTGCAGATTTACGCCACTGAGGCCATCTCCGTGCTCAGAGACGTTGCGCGCAACTCGAGAATGGTCGACTGCCGATTCGACGGAACGTTCTTGTGCTCGTTCGCACCTTCCCACGTTGGTATCGCCCGTATCACAACCCAAGGATTTCCAAGAGCGATCGCCTCAGCTTATACCCCTGTCACGAACAGCCGATTATGATGCCGACCAATCAAAGCGTAGCTACGAGCTGACAAGCGCATTCCTTGGGTTGTTGCCATTGGTGCAGCCGTTCGGACCAGGCGAACAACGTGGTGAGTTCGGACGTTGCATTGGGCACAGCATCGGAATAGTCTTGTCCTTCGCTGCAAGTGCCAGCAAGATACATGGATCTACCTTACACTCGGTGCCCCTCTATTTGGCCTTTCTCTTTCTTCCCAGTCGTCGCGTGCACCTCTCACATTTGCAAAGAGTTGGAAACTTTGTACAGTGCATTCGGAGATTGAGGTGTGGTATAGTAAGATGGACGATCAGAGCCAAGTTCACGACGGGAAAGTGCAAGAGCACGAGCACGATGTTGAACACCAGCACGCCTGCGGTGAAACGAGTAGCTTGGGTAAAGACGACATCTTACAACTCACTGATCCTGTGCTGAATGCCAAAATGCATCTGGTTAACAATGCGATCGATGAGGTAAGCTTGTTGAGAGAAGACTCTTGTGGGTGTGTACTGATTACAGTCCCCAGATCGGTTTCACGACGTATCAATGGAAGGTACTTGATGTGTCTCTGACATCTTTGAGCATTTCTAATAAGGCTTAGCTCTTTGTCCTGAATGGTTTTGGCTACGCCGTTGACTCCCTCATCCTACTCATTCAGTCCGTCATCGCCGCGCAAGCCGCCCTTGAGTTCAAGCCTTCCTACCGAAACGGCCTGACCATCGCTGCTTACGTCGGAATGCTCACGGGAGCCTTATTCTGGGGCTTATCAGCCGATATCATCGGCCGAAAGACAGCGTTTAACGTTAGTTTGCTGATTTGCTCGATCTTTGCAATTGTGGCTGGAGCAAGCCCAAATTGGGAAGTCTTGGGCTTGTTCGTATGTTTGAGTGCTTTTGGCGCCGGAGGAAATTTGGTGTTGGATACGGCAGTGTTCTTGGAGTATCTGCCTAGCTATAGGCAGTGGATGCTTACGCTCATGGCAGCTTGGTGGGGTATATATATCCCCAATCTTCCGCTGTTTTCTTCTCCGAGGGATGGCATCTATAAGCCTAAGTACTAACACTCTGACTAGGCATTGGTCAGCTCGTAGCTGGCTTTTTTGCCTGGGCCTTCCTTCCAAATTTTAGCTGCGCAGACCCATCCCTCGATCCCACGGCAGGCCCCTGTACAAAGTCTAACAACCAAGGTTGGCGCTACGTATGGTACGCTTCTGGATCCTTGGTTTTTGTAATGTCTATTCTCCGCATCACCATCATCCGTCTCAAGGAGACTCCCAAATTCCTCGTCAGCGAAGGTAAAGACGCCGAGTGCGTCGAAACCCTCCACTTCATTGCCACCAAATACAATCGACCTTGTAGTCTCACCGTCACCCAGATGCAAGACTGTGGCACCGTAGATCGTATCGCTGCACGTGGAAATCAGAGTAAATGGGGCTTGGGAGAGATCAATATGCACCTCCGCGGCCTGTATTCCACGAAGCGAATAGGTATTAGCACATCGTTGATCTGGCTCTCGTGGACATTGATAGGCCTCGCCTACCCCCGTAAGTGTCTCTGTGCGAACTGCATGTGAGACATACGCTGACTTTGTACACCTTTGTTTAGTCTACAATGTCTTCCTCCCCGCCTACCTCTCCTCTCGCGGCGCCGCCTTCGGTGAACCATCACCCTACATCACTTGGCGCAACTACACCCTCGTGAACTTTAGCGGGATTTGGGGACCTGTGCTAGCGGGCTACATGTGTCATACGCGCCTTGGTCGTAAGTATACCATGGTTATTGGAGCATTGGTCACCATGGCTTTCTTCTTCGCGTACACGCAGGTCAGGACTGCTGTTCAGAATGTGGCGTTCACATGCATCATCAACTTCTGTTTAAATATCTACTATGGCACGCTGTACGCTTATACGCCGGAGGTGCTGCCTAGTGCGCACAGAGGTACCGGCAACGGGATCGCGATTGCCTGGAACAGGGTTATGGGAATCTTGAGTGCCGTTATTGCGACGGTCGCTGATGTAAGTCTGCTCTTCACTGAACCTGTCATGTTTGAGATGACTCCGAATGGCTGGGTTCGCGCTGACTGGCGGCAAAGACGGGAACCGCTGTCCCGATATATATTTGCGCCGCGTTGTACATCCTCATGGCAGGCATTGCGGCGATTTTTCCATTTGAGCCCTATGGCCGGAGAAGTTCATGAGGTCTGCAGTCGAGGTTCCATCAACTCTGCTCTATACATGGACTCTTGATGCAAGAATACAGGTGGACTTGTCTCAGTAAGCTCTCTCGATATTCGCCTGGTCCTCAGTTTATTCATGCAGGTGCAGTAAGTAGTCGAAATTGGACGCCACCTTTTTTCCGGACGACTCATGCTGCGCATTCCAGGCTGCAAACATCTTCATCTCATTGTAGCACGACATTGGTTCATACTCGAGGTTTCATCAAAAGCCGACGTCTATTGTGATATGAATGCACTATCTATGTCAAAAAGCTCGTTGTGCAGCAGGCTAAGTGACTTTCTCAGCATCGCCCTTTGTGCGGGTTGAGAGAAGAGCAATAGTCTCTGCAACAGACGGGAAATCAAGCAGTTCCTCAATACTTGTAGCAAATCCCCGCTTGGAGTATTCACAAGCAAGAGCGGCAGCAGCAATGCCGTTGCCCCATATTTCGTAGAACGGAGTTTGGTGTGTGAAACCAGGAGACGACCTGAAGTCTGATCCCAACACCGACTCCCAAGCTGAACAAACTACTTCCTCCAAGATCTTTCTATCTTCTGTCCCAGGCCTTGATGCCTGCTTCCTAGCTTGACGGGGGCTGACCAGGTTGTGCTGGAATGCAGCCAGATCGAATTGAGCAAGGATGTCTGACAGTTTCTGTTCCAATAAATGAGGCAGCTGTTCGTAAGTTTGAACGAAGCCGCTCAACACCGCTTTAACCCGATCTTCCGAGAAAGCCTGTTGCGAGTATCTCAGTTCGACTTCTAGCTTGTTGTCGCGAGCAGATGTTTGTAGCCATAGGTCGGCTTTGTCATGCTCCGGTTCGTACACATCGAATGCGCACCCGCCAAGTTCTGGAAATGGCTGCTCGATCGACCCGAAGCTGAGATGGTTCACGACTGTCGAGAATCGTGTCCATCGAGGCCAATTGGTGCACTTCTCTATGATGTGATGGTGTCCAATATGGCCATGCTGCAGCGACTTCAGATAGTTGCTTTGAGTCGCATCGAGAAGCGAAGAAGCTTTTGCGGTTGAAACGACATCCGTGCGCAAAGGTATGACGTTCATGCATGGGCCGAGGATATCCGATACGTTGGGCATCATCATGTGTCTTCCAGAAATGATGCACCCGAATACGACAGAGTCCTGACCCGTAAGCTTCGACAGCACGATCGACCATGAGGCAAGAACAGCGGTTGCGCTCGTGTAACCCGAAGTCTTCAGATCTACCAAGGGAACGGAAATCTTGACGGCGCCGTTGATAGGGCAGTCCACGCTAGGGCGAGTGTGAGCACGAACTTCGCTCATCGAGCTATTGGCCAGAGCTGTCTTCCAGAACGTCTCAGAATTCCTGCTTGCTAAGACTGCTTCTGCGCAGAAGTCGGTGAAAGGAATGACTTCCAATGGTCTGTCAAAATACAAAGCCTCGAGCGAGCGCCACAATGTGTCGAGACTGAGCGCGTCGTACTGGGCGTGGGAGATTCGAAGGACCAGTTGCGCTGTGCTAGTCGTGGCATCATGTACAAGGGTAAAAGCTACCAAAGTATCGCCGAGTTGACGGTGTCGTTTCATATCCTGCTGAATGATCTCCTTAACAAGCCCGTCCATATTCTGACTGTCACTAGACTGCTCCACAGTGAACCGGAAGGGGAAAGCCTTGGCCTTGAGAACGACCTGGAAAGTTTGTCTTGCTTTCACTACGAACACCGTCCGTAGGAGGGCGTGTTGATTTATGAGCTGTTGACAAGCGCGTTGCAACCTTCCAACATCCAGTGTTTTGGGGAACTTGAAGATCATGTAGTCATGCCAGCCATGTGACTTGAGCAGACCCTGCCCGACACACCAGGCCTGCCAGTCCGTCGCCAGAGCAACAGCGTCGACATCATCTTGTGAGATCTCCGGTGCGACTGTCTCTATCGTGTGCGCTGTATATTCACCGCCTAGCGTAGTCGACTGAGCGCATACCTCGAACCTTGCCGATGTACTCATAGCCTGGAGAGTTCGATTCACCAGGATGTCTTCGATTGACAGAATGACCTGCTCTTTCCGTGCTTGTGCGATGAGCTTGATACAGTGCAAGGAATCTCCGCCAAGATGGAAGAAATCGTCCTGCAAACCGATGTACTCTACAGGAAGGCCGAGCACTGAGGCCCATAGACGTTGCATCGTTCGCTCCTGCAATGTCACTGGCGCAGACTTGCTTAGAGCGCCAACATGCTTCACCAGATCAACCAACGACATCCTGGCAGCCTGACTCCGCAGTAGCTTTCGATCGAGTTTGCCAGACGGGTTTAACGGCCGTTCTTTGAGTTCCACAAATCCGCGCGGTATCATGTGATCCGGAAGACTGTCCGCCAATCTCTCTCTCAACTGCCTGACTTCGTGAGAGAAGTCTGTTGCAAGCCCGTGTAGGAAAGCGACGAGCATTGGCCCAGTTCCGGTTGTCGGTTCGACTATCTCCGCTGCGACCGTCACACCCGATGGGAGGCTGTCCAACAACGACTTCTCCACCTCTCCCAACTCAAAGCGTTGCCCATGTAACTTGACACGCGTATCTTTCCTTCCCACAATCTGCACAACGCCATCTTCGATATACTTTGCCAAATCTCCCGTTCGAAACATCACTCTGGGTCTCATCTCCCCCCTCGCTTTCGCCCATACAGGTAGCCCGTCGATAAATGCCTTCGTATTAGCTTCCGGGTCGTTGCGGTATCCCTGGAATAGCGCTGGTCCCTCAAAAAGAAGTTCCCCCGTTTCCCCGATCGGCGCTAGTGTATTCGCATCGTCTTGGTCAACGATCCATGCGCAACCCGTCATAAACTGGCGAGCTTTACATTTCTTCCCGCTCACATCGATGGCGTTCGCAATGCCCACGCCCTCCGTCATGCCAATCGCCTCCACAAGCGACACCCGCGGCGCCCAAATATCGATGAGTCGCTGAGTTACGGGCTCACCCCCTACGGTCAAAAACTGCAAGCAATCCACTTCCTCTGGCTTCAGCAGGTTCAGCAGCGTTGGTGTAAGGAAGGTCCGAGTGATTTTCTTCCTGGTGATGAAGTTCGCTATACCGCCCATGCGCTCTCGCTCTGGTGGTAGGATCAATAGACCCCCGTTACAAAGCGTCTTCAAAGTCGTGACAATGCTCGCAGCAAAAGCCTGGGAGGCGAAGTTGAGAACGCGGCTACTAGCTGCGTAACCATGACCATGGATAACATTAGAGACCGCACTGCTTTGCGTATGTTGAACCACTTTAGGTAGTCCCGTCGATCCTGATGTGAAACACACATAAGCGAGATCATTCGGAAGGCCGACTGGCAGGTCTATCACTCCGATCATCCCACTCTCGGAATCGCTGCTGCAAAGTTCTGGCACATTGATGACCACCTTGCTGACAACTTCGCGCGGAAACCTCTCGTTGAACTTTTCTTCGGCAAGCATTACTCGAGGACTTATAGTGGCCAGGCACGCATGTAACCGCTCCGTTGGGTTGCCAGGGTCCAGCGTCGTGTACGCCATCCCCGCCTTCGACACAGCCATCATACAGACAACTAGCCAGATGGATTTGTCGAAACAGATCGGGATGATTTCACCGGCAGTGGCTTCATCGAGTATAGTATGAAGATGTTGGGCTAAACGCGTAGAGTAGTCTTCCAATTGCGTGTATGTGAGTGTACCGTCTGGTGCGTCCACCGCAGGCGCGTCAGGGGAGCAGCTGACTTGCTTGGTGAAGACTTGAGTGATAGTCAAGTGAGGAGTTGGCGGAAGTGAAGCGTTCCAAGACCATATCTGATCTTCTTCTTCTCGAGTGATCTTCGTTCTGCCTTTCGGGGACATGTTGCTCGTTTCGGAGATTATGGCTGTGCTCATTTCTGAAGGCCGGAGGATGGATAACAATGGTGGATTGGACGTCGGCGTGACCATGAGACGTAGTGGGCCATAAGCTACCTTTTGAGACTTTCTTGTAGCGTACTAGCTGCATGTGTCCGGTACACCATGCCCCGCACCATATGTCACCAGACTCTCGGAGTAGGTTGAGTGTTGATCTGCCCGTTCGCCGGTTCCTCGGTCCAATTTTCGTGTCGCCGAAATGTAAGGTGTACGTTTTTACATTCGGTCCGCAATAGATACGATGCTAGCTCTGGATAGTATGCACCTACATCGCAAGCGGTGTGCGAAGATAAGAGACACCCTTCTTGACGCAATGGCCACCTTTGCTTGTACTCTCAACCTCGGTATTGACATCAGGACCGAGAGCGCCTACTGATTTGCTCCGCTGCATGGTTGGCTACGCCACTTATCGAAATACAACCAGGTTCTGCTTTGCGAGGGCATGCATGGTACCAGAAAGGGCGATCGACTCTACCAGATATGTGATTCATTCGTTGCAGTGACAAGAGATGAGTGACTATGTTCGACTATAAGTCTACCTAAAAGGACATCTTTAGATGCTTGAACAGGAACAGATATCCTGGTTCTACTTGGCTTTTCCACTCTCTGCTTCCCGGCTTGAGATGCAGATCATGGATGTGTTTCACTCCAGGAACCGGTAAGAAGCCACATTCAACTCCAGAATTGTCCAGCTCCTTTACGAACGATTCGGCTGTCTTGAACGGAACAATCTCATCGTGTAGCCCATGAATGACAAATGTGGGGACATTGTAGGAGCCGTCTCGCACATGCGCCATTGGGCTAATCGCTCTGACAAGCTCTGGGTCAGGCTTTTGGGCCAGAGCCTTAGGAGAAAGGCCGTAGAGCAGAACGTTTAGCCCGATGCCCTCCTTGAGAACCGCGAAGATGAGCTCAGAGCGTGGGTCGCCGGGCTTGATCCAACCCAATCGACTACCATCCATCATGGTGCCATAGTTCGTCACGGGTGCCCGCGGCAGAGCCTGCATGATTTTCTCAAGTCGCATTCTGCGGGCAGGGAACTCTCCGTAAGACTGCTCTTCCTGATGCCTTTCCAGAGCCCCAGTTTCAAAGTCGG